AGAAACCTCATCTCCTTTCCCATCAAAGAACCCACACAGGGGAGAAAACATTTAAATGCCTGGAGTGTGGAAAAGGCTTGTCAGGTAAACATAGTCTCCTTTCCCATCAAAGACTCCACACTGGTGAGAAACCGTTTAAATGCATGGAATGTGGAAAGGGCTTCTCATCTAAGTCAGATCGTCTTAAGCATCAAGTAATCCACACAGGGGAGAGACCCTTTAAATGCCTGGAGTGCGGAAAGAGTTTCTCCCGCAATAATGCCCTTCACGTACACCAACGAATCCACACAGGGGAGAAACCCTTTAAGTGCCTCGAGTGTGGAAGAGGCTTTTCAGTGAAATCTCATCTCCTTTCCCATCAGAGAACCCACACAGGGGAGAAACCCTTTAAATGCCTGGAGTGTGGAAAAGGCTTTTCAGAGAAATCTCATCTCCTTTCCCATCAAAGAATCCACACAGGGGAGAAACCCTTTAAATGCCTGGAGTGTGGAAGAGGCTTTTCACAGAAATCTCATCTCCTTTCCCATCAAAGGACCCACACAGGAGAGAAACCCTTTAAATGCCTGGAGTGTGGAAGAGGCTTTTCACAGAAATCTCATCTCCTTTCCCATCAAAGAACCCACACAGGAGAGAAATCCTTTAAATGCCTGGAGTGTGGAAAGAGCTTCAATCAAAGAGAATACCTTTTTTCTCATCTTCCAACTCATGGAAAGACCTCTTTGGAAGAGGAGGAGTCCGATTCCGCAGACGAGCCACTTCCTACAGTAGTGCTGGAGCAACCCGAGGGATCTGTTGTCAGCAAAGCCTTACCTTGGGTTCCCAGCAAACCATCCAACCCCTTGCTGTGTCCAGCCGTTACTCCAGACTCTCTTTCCACCACCAATGGCTCTGGACAGCAGCAATGGCAGTGTATCAGGTGGGACACTGAGAGCCACGATGGGGAAGCCCTCCTGATTCCCCGAATACCCTTTCGCCCACAGCATACGCATGAGTAAAGGCCCACTCGAGGAAGGGGTCTCTCAGGAGGAAAACTCAGATGCAACTTCTCAGGACAGGATCAGGTTTGGGGATGGGGGTGGAGCTAGCTCGGATAGACTCTGGACTCTGAATTCTTGCTCCTCCTGACCATTGGGAAACATATGATTAAAATGTACTCTAAGTTGAAGATACATTGAAATTCACATGAAGCTTGAGTCCATTTCTTTGTCTCTCTCCTGGGAAGATTTGAATCACAGGTGTGGACTGTGAGACCCGCAAAGAGTCTGTTTGTATAATCTGAAACTGCTGGATTTATTCCAGGGTAACCTTGCAGCTTGGCTGCTCACTTGAAAAGCTTAAAAGCAGTTTCAAGAGGTGGGGGTGGGGGGATGGTGTCTGTTGTGAGCTGTTCAAGACCTGGAATGAAGTCAAAAAGCTCTAATATGTAGATAATTAACAGATGAGACTTTCCCTATCCTGCCACGCAGTTGGAAAGCCGAAAAGTGTTCGAAAGGGAAAATGCAGAAATATTGGGACAGTGCCTTCCGGAATGTGTATTAAAGTTATTTAACGTCTCAGGATTAGTTTTTTGTGTTATCTTGCTGTTATGGAAAGAAAGGGAAAGAAAAAAAAGAGGAAGTGACGTATTGAGAATATATAGACTGTATTTTTGCTAATAGTAATACTTGAATAATAACTCAAATTATATTAAGCGATCTGAGGATTGAAAGTTATAGTGCAATTGTGGTCTGTAAGAACAATAATTGTGGACTGTAAATGACGAATTTACGATTTTCTCTGGCAACTGATGTCAAAAAGTAACGAGTGCAGAAATCATCTGGCAAAGAGCTAAAGAGAAAGAAGGCCTTTCTCATTTGCATCTGAAAAGAGTAGAGAAAAGATGCGAAATGGATGGGAAGAAAGGATCTTCACGGGAAAGCTCAACGACCTTACCAATATCTCTGTCATCAACACAACCAGGCAAGCTTGATATACTTGCACAGGAATTCAGAGAAGGAAAGACAGATTTGAAAGATATGGAAGATGATACGAAGAAATTAAATATCAAAATACATAATATGGGTGGAAGAATGAAAGATTGAACTAAACAAACTCAAGAGAATAAGCAAGCAATTAGGGAAGTGATAGCTCAGATGGGAGAACAAGCTAAAGAGTTTAAAAATCAGATTTTCAAGATCTGTTCAATGGGCTGCATGCATTAAACAGCAAACCACATCTACCCGCGTACCATTAAATGTTTGGTTTTTTTGAGAAACTTTTCTTCGATTTATCCATGGTTGGCCTACGGGGGTGGGGGGGGGAGCTCAGTAAATCGGCGCAGGTCTGCAGATCAGCAGCTGTGCCTGAGATATAGGTGTGTTTAGTGACTGATTAGCAGATAAACAGTCAAGTGCTGTGAATTGTGACAAGTCCTAAGTGCAGCTTTTAATATTCAGATGAAGGTGATTACAATGGGAGAAAGAGAATCCTTTCAGGAGCTTATCGTGTAACATAAGAGCCTGCAGGAAGCGTGTTCAGCAGAGGAAGGTAACCCATTTACTTATCTAGCTGATTTACTTAACTAGGTAGTGCTGCATTCCTGAGTGGAGCTTTGAGCAGGTCAGTGGCTGTGCCGGCATGTGTTTTGAGCAGCATGTGTTTTGAGCGACGGGGCCGCAGGAGAGGGGTTCAAGAGCCACGTGTGGCTCCGGAGCCGTGGGTTGCTGACTTCTGGTCAAGGGAAAACCTATCCCTTTCCCTTTATTTTTTAATAGAAATCAAATAGAGTTCTATAATCAGGTGTAAAAAGAAATAGAAGAAATGAAAAGAGGATATGTGATAATGGTGGGTGATTATAATATGGTTATGGATAAAGAAAAAGATAACCCATCAGAGGTCGATATAAAATACAACAATACAGGGACTTCCGGTTGGCGTTGTGGCAAGACGGCTGTGAAGAATGGAGGCTCCCGTAATCATGCCAGTGTTTGTTCGACAGTGAGCTGCTAGAGGCTCATGCAAGCCCTGTCGGGGCGGGGATTAGGTGCCCGAGCACTCTTCTGACCAATGTGGGGCGGCGGCTCCACATTTACTGGGAGAAATTTGGGTTTTCTTAGTCGAACAACACAGGGGAGAGATCAGCTCCCTGCAAATCATAGATGACTGGATATAGCACAGGATAATGGCTTGGAGTTCATTGGACCTGATGGGTGAGCTTTTCTACCTTTTCTATACTACCCATGAAAGAACTGAAGTGGATATTAATTGCAACAAAGAAGAAAGAAAAGCCCCTTCCACGGAGGGAGGAATTCCCCCTCCCCCCGCGGAATCTAAGTGGCGATTAATCTAGGGGAGAGGAACTGAGGATTTTTGAAAGTATGAGGCTGGAAAGTAAGATTTCCTAACTGCCCAAGGGTGAAGCATCTGAATAAAAAACTATTGTGGATTAAGTGACAGAAGGACAAATTGTTACTTATTTCTGACGAATGGCCATTTTCTTGTTAGATTTCTATTTAGTCCTATTTGTGACATCATATAAAGACAAAATAAGTCTTTGCTGCCATCCTGTGGCTATTGGACTTATAACAAGTCTCCTTCCATTTTTTTTTTTTTTTTTGGAGATTTCTTCTTTTTTCTCTTTTCTCCTTCTCTCTCATTTCTTGTTCCTGCTTTTCAATTACTGGCAAAAAATTACCATCATTATGGAAAAAATACACTCTTCCTCGGCATCTACATCAGCTGCTCAGAGCTCAACTCATCAGTTCAAAGCCAAAGATGGTGAAAAATATCAAAAAGATCTGCAAATGACTCTTTTGGTGATACAGACATCTTTAACAGCTATGCAAGCATTCCAAGAGGCTATCCAAAATTCTATATCAAAATTAAGTTTAGAACAGAGGGATTTATTAACAGAAACGAACATGTCAGCTAAGCAGAAAAACTTTGCAAATGAACAAAGAGAACGTCTTGACAAACTGGATAGCCCTGTTAAGGATGTACCAACTCAACTGGCAGATGTTCGACTTAAAACTGAACAGAATACACAAAAAATACAACACACACGATAAAATTGAAACAGTAGAGAAAGAAACACAATAAAGCAAACAAGTCACTGTGGGATTTATTGGCTTTATTACAGATGGAGAAGGCATTTAATTATTTGAGATTCCAGAATATACCCAAAGGAAAGAATGAGTTCCTACGGGAATTAATGAGTACCATGTTGTTGTCAGTAAAAAATCTCACACAGGAACAGGGAAAAACTCTGGTGGAGCAAGTAGACTTGCAGATTGTTAAAAAGGTTAAGTATTTGGGAATTTATCTTACAGTTAAGTGTACCACTCTGAAAGAAAACAAGTATGATAAACTAAGGATATTAAGAGTGATTTGGAAAAATGGGCTAATTTGCAATTACCCTTGCTGGGAAGAATAGCACTAGTTAAAATGAATTGTTGTGAGCCGCCCCGAGGCTTTGGCGAATGGGGCGGCATAGCAGCTTTGGTATCTGTCACCAAATATATTAGCTAAGATGTCTTCAAATATGTGAAATAGATGTTGGAAATGTAAACATAAATTGGTACTTTCTATCATAGGTGGTGGACTTGCAATAATGTGAAAATGTATTGGATTCAAATACATAAATGGCTTGTGGAAATCTTACAAAAATCTTTAGCTTTTAAACCTGAAGTCTTCTTATTAGGCACTATACCTATTGATATTAGTAAACAAGAAATGTATTGGATTTTATATGTTATTACTGCAGCGAAGATTGTATTTGCTCAATGCTGGAAAAGTGAAGAACCACCCACCAATGAACTGATCCTAAAAAAGATCTTGGAAGGTGCAGAAATGGATAGATTGACTTTGCCATTGAAGGAGAAGGAAGATACTGATTTCTATCAAACTTGGGAGTCTTTTTATTATTGGCTAGAGAAACGGGACATTGTATAGATTTAAATGTATTTTTAAGTCATCATAAATGGAAAAAGAAATGTGCGGGCTGACCCAGCAGGTCCAATGTTTTTGATGATTGATGTTGTTTTTAGTTAGGTTTATAATTTTGAATAAAACTTGTTATACAAAGAAAAATATAACTACAGACCTAAGTAGCTTTATTAATAAAAGCAGATTAAACATTTTTTGGAGAGAACTAATTGGTAATCAGAAAAACTATACATTTTATTCAAAGACACATAAACACTTTAAAGGAATAGTGTATATTTTTATACCACCAGAAAAATTGTCTAAGTTAACAAACACAGATATAAAATAAACTATCAGACAAATGGAAATGGAAATATGTCATTTTTTTGTTAGTTGTCTAGTCACGTCCAACCTAACATTAGCCCACACACAACATTTCTCCAGGCCTTCCTATCCTCCACCATCCCCCAGAGTCCAATTAAGCTCACGCCGACTGCTTCAGTGTCTCCATCCAGCTACCTCATCCTCTGCCGTTCCCTTCTTCTTTTGCAATCTATTGTTCCCAGCATCAGGCTCTTCTCCAGGGAGTCCTTCCTTCTCATTAGGTGGCCAAAGTATTTGAGTCTCATCTTCAGTATCTGGCCTTCTAAAGAGCAGTCAGGGTTGATCTGCTCTAAGACTGACTGCTTTGATCTCCTTGCAGTTCAAGGGACTCGCAGGCCTCAACTCAAAGGCCTCAATTCTTTTTTCTTTCTTTCTTTTTTAAATAAGTTTTATTCTTAATAAACCTAAGAAAAAGAAACTAAGAATCATCAGTCATCGAAAACATCAGACCTTGTCGAAAACATCGGACAAAACATCAGTTCATCGGAAGGTGGTTCTTCACACTTCCAGTGTCGGGCAAATGCAATCCTCTTCGCAGCAGTTACATGGAGAGTCAAATACATTGCTTATTTGCTAAGATCATCAGGTACAATGCCTAATAAGAAAACTTCAGGTTTAAATGTTAAAGGTTTTTATAACATTTCCTCAAGCCATTTGTGTGTTTTAATCCAATACTTTTTTGCTTTATCACAAGTCTACCACATATGATAAAATGTACCTGATTTGTCTTTTCATTTCCCACATCCATTTGACATATTTGGAAACATCTTAGCTAACCTATTTGGCGACAAATACCATCAATAAACTGCTTCATGGATCACTGCCTTGTCGTGGCAAAGGGGCTTGCGTAGCTCAATGAAGCTATGAGCTATGCCGTGCAGGGCCACCCAAGATGGACAGGTCCTAGCAGAGAGCTCTGACAAAATGTGATCCACTGGAGAAGGAAATGGCAACCCACTCCAATCTCTTTTCAATGAAAATCTCATGGACAGAACCAAAAGGCAAAAAAATATGATGCAGGAAGATGAGCCTCTCAGGTTGGAAGTTGTCCAATATGCTACTGGAGAAGAGCAGAGGGCTAGTACTAGTAGCACCAGAAAGAATGAAGCAACTGGGTCAAAGCCGAATGGACACTCAGTTGCAGATGTATCTGGAGATGAAAGAAGAGTCAGATGCTGCAAAGATCTGTACTCCATAGGATCCTGGAATGTAAGATCCGTGAATCAAGGCAAGCTGGATGTTGTCCAACGAGATGACAAGACTTAACAAGACTGAAAATGATATCTGTCACTACCTCCATTTCATCCCCATCTATTTGCCAGGAAGTGATGGGATTGGATGCCATGAGATTAGTTTTCTTATTGTGGAGTTTCAAGCCAACTTTTGTGCTCTTCTCTTTCACCCACATCAAGAGACTGATTAGTTCCTCTTCAATTTCTGACATTAGAGTGGTATCATCTGCATCTCTGAGGTTGTTGATATTTCTCCCAGCATTCTTAATTCCAACTTGTGATTCATCTAGCCCCACCTTTCTCATGATGTGCCCTTCATATGTGTTAAATAGGCAGGGTGATAGTATACACTACAGCTTTGCTAAACTCCTTTCTCAATTTTGAACCTATCAGTGGTTCCATGTCCAGTTCTCACTGTTGCTTCTTGATCCACATACAGGTTTCTCAAGAGACAAATAAGATGGTCTGGTACTCCCATTTCATTAAGAACTTACCTCAATTTGTGATCCAATTTTGATTCCATTTGTGATACAATCAAAGGCTTTAGCATAGGCAATGAAGCAGATGTTTTTCTGGAACTCCCTTGCTTGTAGGATTTTGAGTATAGCTTTGCTAGCATGTGAAATGAAAGCAATAGAGTGGTAGTTTGAACATTCTTTGGCATTGCCCTTCTTTGGAATTGGAATGTAAACTGACCTTTTCCTATCCAGT